CAATTTGAATTTAAGAAGTTTATGACTGAACATATTGAATTTTTGAAGTTCAATTCCGAAAAAAGTGAAAAATTTCATGGTCAAACGTCTCTAAGTAAAGAATTGAAGTACTAAAACTTAACCTAGAAATTAGGGTTTTGAACGTGCCTGTCACGAGGCACCACGTGGTGTTCGACAAAGTGGTCCCCACATGGGGTACATACAAGGAAAACACTGTGATAATTTTCCCATGTGGACCCCACTCTTTTTTTAAAAAATTTTTTTTTGGAATTTTCACTTTGATTATTTTATTACTTCTAAAAATTACATTTTTTAAAGTATTACTTAATTTTTTTTTTAAAAAAAAAGATAATATAGTTAAAAAGAGGATTATTTTTGGAAGTATGTGTATGAGAATCCCCATAATTTTGATTAAGACAAATGGAGAGATTAGTAGGACTCACGTGCTAATCTTTAGACTTTCTTAAAATAAGATTCTTTTTAATAATTTAATTTAAATATGAACCTAAGTGTGAGACTTACTTATTTAATTAAATTCATTATTCATTCAATTGATTCCATGCATTAGGATAAGGACGTACGTTTTAGCTAGCATCTGGTCATATATTTTGAATCAATTATGAATATTTGTCTTCAAATATCTGTTTGATCATAAATTTTGAATCATTTTTTGAATTCTTACCTTTAATTATTTTTTGATGATATATTTTGGATGAGATTTTGCAAATCTATCTTCAAAAAAATTTCAAGTTAAAAAATGGATACAAATTAATTTTTGGATTTTGAAACTTCCGCTCACAAATTTTTAAAAAAAAATTAAAGTAAAATGCATTCATGAACCCAATTTCAACTACTCATCAAATTCTAAACTTCAAAATTTATGATCAAATTAATGTAATTATTAATCAAGTTCAAATTGATGATTTGTATAAACTATCTTATAAGATACTTATAATTAAATCAATGCACGTGTCAGTTTAACTAAACTCAAAAACTTATACAAGTACGACTTAAAAATGCAAATTAATATAGTAACTTATAAATAGTTTTTATTTATAAGTTACACTAGTATTAAGTTGACAAATAATAAGAAACAACAAAATGAGTATTCTATATATACAACTAAAAAATCATGTTTTAGAACACATTTACCATAAAATACACCAGTAAAAAGTTACGACAAAATATTAAAGAAAGAAAGAAAGAAAAATTCTATTACAACATCAATAGACATTCTTAACCAAACTTTATATGTTAAACATTAATAAAACATGTTTCTCCATGGTATATATAATTCTCAAGTTTTTCTTTTTCATAATTACGTATTATTATATATAATATGTGATCTTATTTTGGTTTAGAATAGTAACAAACAATGAGACATGATGTCGATAGACACTTCTCTAAACACAAGAAACATTTCTTACCGTACTATCAACTTTTATTAAAAGTTCCTACTTTAGACTATATATAGTTATTGTCTATATATTATATATATACTATATAGTATAGTATTATATGGTACATAATATATTTTAGACAGAGTGAAAGGTATCTTCCTTGGATTCTCCGTACATATATATCTATGTACACTCTTTTCTTACAAACTTGAATGAATGTCAACTAAAGGGCGTGCATCGTGATATGTCTTATCTTTGATATTCATCAATTAGCTAAAATATAATGGCTGTGAAGCAAGGATTGAGGTAGTTCTTTGCTAAGGGGAATTTTTTTTTACCTCATTGTAATGGGACGAAAAAATTATTAGAAACATTTTCGACAAGTCAATTTTGATAAAGCATATTGTACACTTATTTCTTACAAACTTGAATGTCCACTATCTTTTCATCTCAATTCAATAAAGAGGTCATTTGGTTACTGATTATTAATAGGAAAATTATATGGTTAAGTAAGCGTATACTAGTTAATTAATCATTATAGTTATAGTGTTACTTAATTACCACTCGCAATCAACATTCAATGATAATTATGTGGACTGGCCGGGTTTCGAGTTTGTATAATTCACACGTTTGCATAATTCAAAATTTGTATAACTTTTGTATAATGTAATTTTGTATAACTATTTAAAGTTCAAATATTTGTGTTTGTATACATTCGTTATTTCGAGTTTATACAAAAATAGCTCAATTATTCAAATATACCCGCGAATTATACAAACAAGGCAGCTTAAACTGTAGCTATGGCCCGTAAATATACAAACTATAGCTATGAAGTATAATTAAGTTTATTATAGTAGGTATTTGCGAAAATTCCCCATTATTAATTAAAGAGTAAATTTTAGGTTTAGCAAACATTAAAATCATATGTATGCTATAACTATAGTTTGTATAACTGCGCTCCATAGCAAACTTTATGTTTGCTATGGCTATTAATCTGTATATTTCGATATACATATACATAAAAATCTGTATTTGTATATTTTGGTATACAAACTAAAACATAGTAATTGTATATACACAAAATTACTACATATATACAACACATATGGATACCGAATGGATCTATTTGTATATTTCGGTATACAAATGAGTCTTGCAATTAATTTTTGTACAACACATATGTATACTGAATGGGTCTATTTGTATATTTTGGTACACAAATGGGTCCTGCGATTAATTTTTATACAACACATATGTATACTGAATGGGTCTATTTGTATATTTCGGTATACAAATGGGATGACAAAAAAACATGGAATGTTTGCTGCGAATTACAAATAAAAGAAAATATGGCTATAGCATTTAATTTGAATTAATAGTTTGTTATTTCATACAATTTTCCCTTAATTAAACCTTTGGGTATGGTAAGGGCTTATTTTTCTTCTTATGCTCAGTCAAAGTATTGGGTTTCTTTTGGGCCTTAAAATTGAAATTGATATCTTCAATTGATATATTAAGGGTAAATTGGCACCCTATGTCAAGTGGACTTACTAACTGATATCAAATAAAGGAAAATTGCATGATATAATGACTTAAGTTCACTAATTATTGTATTTAGCAATATTTAGGCGGTTTAAGAAACTTAAATTGAAGCTTATTTGTTAATTAAAATCATCACTAAAGTACTATTTGTGTTGGACTGATTTTCAGAGGATGTTCAAAAATGAGGTTTTGAGGCCCAAAAGAAACCGTATACATTTTCTTGTATATTTATGTAAATCTTTGATATATCTTCGTATACCACATGTATATTGTGTATAACAGTATATATCCTTAAAAATCTTTTTGAAATATACATTTTTGCAATGACATAATTTCATTGTCGATTTCAACTCTAAAGTGATTCAAAAATTACTTTCACCATTCCTCAAATTATGGTTTATTGCATGGTTACCAAGAATTTTTTGTATAGAAAATATAATTGAGAAATGGAATATTGTTTAGTTGATTGTAGTATCTTTTCTAGATTCTTATGTGGCTAGTCAATTATAGTATTCTTTCTAGTTTTGCATGTGGCTATTTATTTTGTTGACTAGCTCATTTATAACCAACCGTATTGTGTTCTTATACTTACTTTTCTTTATTCTCCTTTCACTATTTTTATTCTTTGATAATTATTGAATATTCTAAAGTCTCTCAAACGTTCAAACCTTCTGTAAAATCTATTGTTGTTAGAGGCGGAGCTAGGTGGGGTTCATGAGTTCGGACGAACTCACTAGTTTTTTCGTAGACCCTGTATTTGTATTAAAAAATTAAATAAATATATGTATATTAACATGTGAACCCACAAACAAAATTGATTTAGAACCCCAAACTCTTAACATTAGCTCCACCTCTGAATTTGTTGTGTGTTTATAAAAAGATCAAATTTGTTTTTGGTGTCTAATTCAAATTTCAAGTACCAAAACTAATCAACAATATTTTAATATTATTATATCTACTTATCAAATTCATTAAAACACTATTTTAATATCATCATATTTTAAAAAAAAATGAGTCATGTTTTATTATTCTAACTTTATATTATAAAATTATCATTGAAAATTTACATTATTTGCATTCTTGCTTCATAATGTCTGCATATATCTCGCCTCTCTAGACCTCATTTGTAGGATTACACTGTTTATGGTATAATTATTCAATTTATATTTGTCAACTAAAAAAAATAGGGCCTCTTTATGAAGTTTGACTTTAGGCCCCCAAACTTGTTGAGACGACCCTGATGGTTACTATAGTTAAATATCATTATAATAATAATAATAATAATAATAATACTTATTTGAAAATTGTATGGTTATGATAGTGAGATGGTGTTAAATATGTATATTAGTTATTCAGCCAAAATCCCACAATAGAACCATGAAATATATAATTGAGTTACTTGAGCTTAGCTTGTCAGATATGCAAACACAATTGAAGGAAGGAAGGAAGAAAGGCTAAGAGGGTATTTGGATTCACTTAAAAGTTGGTCAAACTTACTTTTAAATTAGTTTTCAACTTCTCGAAGTGTTTTGCAAATATAACAAAAAAGCTTAAACTAAGTTAACAAGTGTTTGACAAGGTTAAAAATAACTTAAAATAAGTCAAAAACTAAAAGTAGAACTCCTCTTACTTTTTATTTTTTAACTTAAAATCATTTCAATTCAACTTTTTATTTTTGACTTAAAAACTACATTTTAAAGTCAATCCAAACAGACTCTAAAAACATCAAAGAGAAAAGGAGGAACAAGAATCGAATTAGGTCAATTCCGATAATTTTTAAAAACTAAGCCAATTTTCTCGTAAAGTAAATGTCCGAACTTTACCTAATTTTCACTTATTTATTAATTTTTTGAATAAAATTACCAATCAACTCTTCGTAAAAATTTGTGTACCCCCCTACCCCCCCCCCCCTCCTCTTTAGTGTTCAATAGGTGTGCTAAAATAACAACAATAATTATTTGGTCTACAATAAACAAGCATATTTGAATTATTTGCTATAGAATCCAAAATAAAAAAGGATGATATCATCATATAATTTCTTAAATAAAACAAGCTAGCATATGAAATATAAGACCACAAATTTAGTTCTCATTTTTTTGCCTTCAAATTACAATATAGTAAGAGGCATGAGGCCCAACAAACTAAAGAGCAAAGTCTAGTAGTGGTCCACATAACAAATTACACATTGGATTTTATAGTTAAGCATCCATCATTAGTAAACTAGGAAATTAATGAAACCTAATTTCCATTACATGAAAAAACCAAAGAGGGTTAATATTAAAATTGAGTATATTATATAAAAAGACTTGGCCATATATTTTTTTTTAAACTACCATAAGAGATTATTAAGTTGTGATGAAGCTTGTGAATCCTCTTCATCTTGTGATGGAGAATGAACATGTCTCCCTTCATATGTTGTAATCACCATTCTTGGATCTTCTGCTAATCTTTCCACTCGTTTCTTAACTCTACAATTATCTTGTGTACATCGATAATAACTCCTACACAACAAAATATTTCTTGTCAGTGGTGGCAGAGTCGGAAATTTTCAAACTATATACCTTTACTACTATAAGGAAATTCAAAAGTTCATACATAAACAAAAGAAATTTAGTTGTACATCATTTGCAATTAGCACACTACAATTTAAGGGCGGAGGTAGAGTACTGCAAAAGGGGTTCAGATGGATTCAGTAGCTTTTACGTAGATTAAATATTTATATTTAAAAACATATCAAACATGTAAAAATATGTAAACGAGCAATGAGATTGATCCTAGTTCAAAAATCATAAACTTCAAATCTTAATTCTATCTTTGTCATTCTCGATTGTGGCTTTGTCTATTGCACCGTAAACAAATAACCTTAACAAACATAAAATTGCCAAAAAGAGATACTTAATGACTTTTTCCCCATATAAATAAGTTGTTAGTCTATATATGTGTTGATGACAAATAACAGATACTCTATACGAAACAGATGAGGTACGCAAAAACTGATCGAAGACCAAGACCTAGATGGTTCAAATATTGTCAGATTTGACTGAAAATGTTGCAACACAAACTTATTGGAAATAATGAATAGGCAGGCATAGACAGGAAATATCATTAGTGTTTTTTTTTATGTTCTTTCATGTCTATTTTCTTATCTTTGAACAGTATTTTCTTTAAATTTAGCCTTTGTTGTGACAACTGCCAAAACCTGCAAAGAGTCCCTAGTCTATACTATATATGCATATATATAAGTATATGTAGTATATTCTAATTAGATTTTGGGACAGTGACTATAATTATTTCACTTGTTCAGTATAGGACAACACGCGTATCTGCATCAAATTTATCTACAATTTATTTACAATAACATAAAAATACTAAAAATGAAGAACAAAACAAACACTAGAAATTCTAAAAAGTGTTATAAATAATGTACTCTTTTTTTTTCTTCATTTGTTGTTTGATATCCACATTAGAGTCCGATTAAATCAAAATTTGCACCGGAAAATCTTACATTCATTGGGCTTAAAACGCTCCTTAATAAAGGAAAGGGGACTCGAACCGAAACCTCTAGTTAAAGATAAAGGAGTACTTACCACTCCTAAACATCTGGTTAAGCACTCTTCACCTCCTACTCCAAAATTGTGAGTTTCACAGACCAAGAAAGTTAAAAGATAGGAACTCTCGGAGAGGATTCAAAAAAATTGTATCCAAAACCTAATGATTTGACTAATTAGGATTACTAGATTTTAACCAGTAGCGAAACTAGAATTTTCATCAAGAAAATTCAACAAATAAAGGAGTTAATCACATTTTTTACTATATATATGTAAAAATAATAATTTTGACTCCATATATGGAATGTAACTTATAAAAACTTTCAACAACGCTTATACAAAAGAGACAATTTTCACGGCTCAAATATGATACATCTAGCTACTTTAAGGGTAAAAGAACCTTTAGTCCTTTACCAATGTACTGGATAATATTAACCCTAGCATTTAAAACAAATAAAGCAAGGTAGTCCCCTAATTTTAAAACATTTTGATATATGTAATGCAATATATAGCTGTTTGTAGGACAATGTGGGGTACTTTACCTAGTACAACAAAAAGGTTTAAAAAAAATAATTTTTTTTGAGGAAATGGAAATGAAATAGTGTTACATATAGTAGTAGCAAATTGCAAACTGGCAATTGCTGGATTCATTATCACTAGTGCCAGTGCCTTTAACAACAGTGGGCTCCCTTGTGATCAAAAGTTTTTACACTCTTTTTTAAAATTAAAATGAGTTTAATTTTCATATCCTATTTTTACACTATCGAGTCAAGGAGATGACTTGTAATTGATTTAGAAAATTTCATATCTATGAGATTAAAAAAACCCCACTACAAAGGATTAAACTACATTGATAAGGGATGATCATTAATTAAATACCCTTCATAAGAATTATATAAAAAATTACTTCTCATAAATATAAATTAAATTTTGAACATTCTCAACAAAATTTTTAACTTTACTACGATATTCTATTTGTTTCTTTTTTAAGGAGAGTAACTTAATTATTTCACTACGATATTCTATTTGTTTCTTTTTTAAGGAGAGTAACTTAATTTTTTTTAGGCTAGATCAGTCTCAGACAAAATCTGAACAACAATATAACAAAGTAAACTCCTAAAGAAATTAAAGCTCAATAGTAGTAATCATTCAACAATAAAAGTTTCAATTTACTATTAACCTAAAGAGGGGATCCTCCATGGGATCCTCCCCATGTCAAACATAATTAAAGATGTAAAAGTTATCATTATTTTATTTTTTCTTTATTAACTTATTGGACTTAATTAGGGTTTTCATATAGTATAACATATATAATGCATGGTTCTTTCAAGTATTAACACTACCAAATCTTGATAATAAGTTGTTCCAAGTATTTATTTATTAACCACTTAATCATGATGTGATTCATCAATCTCTTTTTACTTGTAACAAGTAATTTTGCAATCATTTTTCAAATAATATTTCCTAATTAAAAGATGATCTGATTTAAATTCTGTAACACGCCCAAAAAGGCTATCATTTCATGAGTACCAATAGTTACAAATATTATTCAATCATTTTTTTTTTCTTTTGAGGTTAATAATAACATTTACTGTAACCCTCTCCCTAGAAATTACCTTACATACATACATACATAATATAAACAATAATATATAGTATGAAACACCTTATGTTAGTATCAAACCAATTTGATCATTCTACTCTAAATCAAAAGTCTGAAGTTCGAGCTTTAAAAATAATAATAATAATGTGAGGATTAGGATTGGGGAACTTTCCCCTTTAATAGGCACTATAAGCAATTAAATTTTTTAAAATTATTTATAAATGCTAACGGATTTTATAATGTGAATTCAATTTAGTCAAAATCACGATTATCGAACGTTCGATAAAAAAATCCCCCAAATATCAAAACCACTACTAAAGTCAATCTAATGACTAGCAAGTGAAGAGAGTGGCTAAACAATTTGTAAGTTTTTTTATTTGAAATACAAAAATGAGAGGCAAAACATTTTATCAATGAAAATGAAGGAAGAGTGTTGAAGGTTAACAAATAAAGAAGAAATATAATTAGAATGGAAAACAAAAAGTAAATTAAATGTATAATTATAATGGAAAACACAAAAAGTAAATTAAGTATTAATTAAGTACCTGGGATGTTGAGTATTTTTGACAACTTTCTGTCCATATTTTCTCCATTTATAACCATCATCCAACACATCCACATCACTCATAGTCTTGAAACAAAATCTTGGTTCTCTTACTTTTCTTCTTGATGATTTGAACTTCTTCATCTTAATTGATGAAACCCCTAAATTATGATGATCAAGATCAAATTCCCTTGATCTCTTAATAATATTGCTCCTCTCATGCACTTCTCCCCATGCCCTAAAATCCATCATACACATATTTAGTCATAACAACTAGCTATACATGCAAAAAAATAATAATTAAAAGTTTGTAAATAATCAAGGTTAAGCTATGTTATTTAACTTAGACTCTTAAAAATGATGTCGCACCCGAATCGGATTTAGATCCTCCATATTTGGGAGGATCCTCGATATTTTTGAAGAGTGTGAACAACATAGAGGCTAAAGCTATGTTGTTCAGACACCCGTATTGGATCCTTGAAAATAGAAGACTTTTGGAGAATCTAATGAACTATTTTGAAAGATCCTATATGCATCTGTCGATATTTTTGAAGAGTCTGAACAACATGAAAGGTTAAGCTATTTTATTCAGACACATGTGTTGGATCCTTCAAAATAGACGACTTTTGGAGAATTAGACAATATTTTTGGAGAGTTTGAACAATACAGAGAGAAGAAATATTAATGATTACCATGTATTTGGATTGGATTTTTGCAAGGAAAGAAGATGGGGTCCTCCAAAAATAGAAGTAGTAAGGTCCTCTTTGTGCCTTGGATCATGTGTAGATTCAATATTTAAGGAATTATGATCAAAAGAGGGAGGGATCATAGTGAGGGTTTTTAGAGTATTTTGGTTGTATCCAATAAATGGTAGAGTAGTACTTGAAGTAGTAGTACTACTACTTATGCCCATATTGTTGCAATTTGGAGGAAAAGAGAAAAATCCTAGTTGTGTTGACATATCTTGATGATCCTCAAACAAGCTTTGGCTAAACATTGCTTCTTTTTTTTTCTTTCTCTCTCTAGATCTCTCTCCCAGTGTGTGTAAAGGATGAAGAAGAAGGTGTAATATAGAAAACCAGGCAGTTTGATTTCTTATAAGAGGAATAGGACTAATATTTGGTGACACTACACCAAATGAAATAAAAAAGGTGATCTTTATAGGGATAGTTTAGGTTAAAAGAACCAAATGTCTTGGACAATGACAGAGTCAGAATTTTCACGAAAAGAAAAAATATTATGGAAGTTAATGTAGAAAGAAGTCGGGGGATTCAACAACTTCTATTTCTAATTTGATTTTTTGATGAAGGGATTGGAGTTTAAATAAACCCTTTGTGATACCGTAGCTTAGTCCATGCGCGTATATTATTAGCTTGAGAGTAGAAAGTGATCCAGAGCCAATCGAAAAGTTAGTTCATGAGAAGTAACAATACAAAGGTTAGTTCATGAGAAGTAACAATACATGTTCAAACATATAATTCAAACTTTAAATACTTTCTAGTCAAATATATATCACATTTCTTTTACTTTTTGGATTTTTACTCGATATTTATATTGGAGCTCGATTAAATTTAAATTTGCGTTGAAAAGTCTGCACTCCCTAACAAAGGTGATTTCGTACCCAAGGGACTCAAACTCGAGACCTTGTGACTAAGAATATAGAAATACTTACTACTCCACCATAAACCCGTGTCGATATATATCACATTTCTTTATGTCTAAAGATATGCTAAGTGTTGTACAATGTGTTAGTAGTACTAGTTACTACAACTTAAACTAAAGATTTGCATTTCTAAACAAAAAACAAAGTCAATTAGCTTTAAGTTGTACTGCATGTTGCAACTTTAACCAAAAAAGCAAAGGTAAATCCATGTGCCCAAATGTCAACCAAATCAGAACAGTAAGGAGAGGTGGCCGGGGGTGAGAACATGGGAACTTTTACATGTCTTAATGCTCTCTATTTGTTACTTTCTTTGCCTTTTTTGTCCAAAAAGTTGAATGACTTTTTAAATTTGTTGCATTCAAGTATCATGCATCATTTCATAAATTTTTCAAATATTTTTTCTTTATATATTATTACAACAATGAAATCTTTAGCAATGGATCCAATGATAAAAGGGCAAGGAGATGAGTACAAAATAATGAAACAGAAACTTGATACAAAGTGGAGTGAAAAAGGAGTTAATTCATGATAGGCCTATGGTCTCAAAAGGGACAAGTTCAAACACTATGTACTAATTATAGTGTATTTTCAAAACATTCAATAGTGTGATATGTATTTTGATTCAAACATTTAAACCATAATGCACTTTTAATAATTCAATTAAGACGATTTAATCTTAATAAAAATAAATAAATAATATATTTACCAATTGAACTAGAAATTGTGTAGTGTATATTAGAGGCAAATTATACATCTCTACATTTATACTTTATTTTTGCATAAATTTAGCACAATGTAACTTTAAACTGACTGATATACTCATTAAAAAAAGCGTCTAAAATTAAGATTGATAAGCGATTCCAATCACTACTGATCTCTTAGCTAGATTGTTTATTAATATAAACTAATAGGCTTTCAAAACAACTTTGATCAAGCGGTATTGAGTAACATTACTTGATTCTCTTTGTTGTATAATAATTAAGGGGCGCTCAAGCTGGTTAGCTTACCGACCTCAAAATTGAATGAATACATATATATTATTATTAGTATGTAAGTAGTACATAAACCTAGAGTATGAGTATGATATGTTTGTTTATTATGGCATCAAAAAAAGCACAAAAAATCAAGAGCAATGATAATGAATCTTGGTTGCAAATCTATACCTCTGAAGATATCATGATGATGATGAGATGAAAGATTAGGGGCCTATTTGACTTTTTGGCAGCTATATAAAAGCTTCTTGCCTTTTTTCCTCTATACTTTTTGATAAATTAATGTTACTTTTTCTAATCTAATTATTATTATTATTCCAACAAACACCACACAAGATTAGTTAATTCTCCTCAAGTTCCAAACAACCCTATAATATTGTTATGATCTCTCTTCAATTGCACACATTAATCTATGTTAACTTTGGTTTGCAAAAATGTCATCATATTCATTGATGAAACACAATTAATTTAACTTTCATTGAACAATAATGCTTTTTGATACTTGGTTTAATTTCTTGTCTCATTAATTAGTTTTAACATTGGGTCAATATCAACTTCATTTGATTGGCTAGTAATTCACTATTATACTTTTATATATATATCTACAATTGTTATCATTGCACCTCTTGTGTTTATGATTTTTGTACTAGAAAAAAGTAATCATTAAATTAAATTAAATAATGTAAGATAAATAAATAAATAAGTTTTTATATTCTATATTGTTCTAGATTAAAGAATTTCGAAATAAATTTAATGGGGTTTGTGTTGAGTTATTAAACCAGCACTAAATATACTTTATTATGACGATGTGATAGAAGAAAATATTTTTTTTCACATTAAAGAGTATAGTATTATATTTTAATTTATAAGTATGTAAAATTTCGATATTATCAAATATCAAGACCTTGTTCACGTAATTTCAACTTATATTGTGTTCAATATCAATATTGATTTTCACTATTAAAAGTATTCTGCTTTATACAAATTAATTAAAACTTCATTTGCTTATCAACTTTTAATAATAAAAATATAACGTAGTTTAAAATATTTTAAAAATCAAAATCAAATTTAATGCCTGAAAATACGCTTTTACGTTCGGGCCTTACGCTTTTATGCTCAAATTTACGTCTCAAACTTTAGGACATATACTTATAAATCTACGCCTTTTATTTTGTACCTGAAATGCTTTTTGGTATGTCCCGCTTTTGAATTTCATCAAAATAAATACTAATTAAAGATAACATACATTATATAATTCCTAAAAAGAAGTCATTTGCTTGTAAAATCATATATATTCTCCACTTTATTTGATAGAATATTATATACTTTTTAAGAAGAAGTTATTTACTTGTAAAAGTTTTATATGTATATATTCTCCACTTTTTATTTTTTATATTTTTTTATTTAATAGAAAAGAGTTTGAGAACTTTGGGAATATTTTTGTTATTTTAATTAATTACTATTCAAATAATTTATCTAGATATTATTACTCTATCTTCTGATAGAAGTAATTTATTCTCACTTAATAATTAATTTTAATAATATTTTTATTTTAAATATATTGTCTTAGCAGAATATTTCAGATGAAAAAGAACCTTGGAAAAATTAAGAAGAACTGGAATATTCCTTGGGACTTGAAATATTCTTTTTCTTTTTCTTTTTGGTTTTGGCGGTGGTATCTGTATTTCCCCCATAAAAGATGTCATATATATTTTCTCATCTCATTAAAATAAGTTGATTGATACAAAATTCAAAACAAATTTATTACGTATTTATTTTTTTGATCGATATAAATAATTATATGATAGATAAATATGTATAATAAAGTTTCATGTTCAGCATGAAAAGATTGATTTTATCATGTCACAAAGATTATAGTAAAGATTATTATTCTTTACAATTTTAAAGGTTTGAAATTGCAATATTTAATTAAAAAGAAATATAGAGATATACGATTTATCAGTGTCACATTTTAATATATTTTGATATCTTGTATACAAATAATGATTTGCTCATTTGTTAAAATTTTATAAAATTTCGATAGTTTTTCCAATTTATATAATTTTCATGTTTATAAAAACAGTAGATACAAGAGCTGGTGCAAGCACCGACCAATATATATTATACTATTTAACGTTTTCTGACACAGATAGAATTAAAAGAGTTAATCACATTTTTATATGATTTTTAGATATTTTAAGTTGTTAATTATTGTGATTTACAGTATTTTTAACGTAATTTTCAAGAGTATCAATTTATGTGGGAAACTTTGAGAGTCAATTTTTTTTTAAATATGTTTTTTAAAAATATTTTAAGTTGCTAATTATTGTATTTATAAGGTTCTTAATTAATTTAATTTTTAAATAATATATATTACTCTTTCTGCCGCAATGTGGCACATGTGAAATTTTAAAAGTTAGCCAAATTTTAATATGTTTCTTAAATATTTTTAAGTTGTTAATTATTGTGATTTATATTAATATTTACGTAATTTTTAAATAATATATGTTATTCCTTCTTTTTTTTGAGAGTTGATCACTCTTTTAATATATTTTTAAAATATTTTATTTTATTAATTATTGTAATTTATAGTATTATTTTTTAGTAATTTATAAATACATAACATATTAAAAAGAAAAATAAGATAACTAAATTAAAACGGAGAAATTATTGTTATTAAATATAAATAGATGAGAAGGGCAAATCAGTCAATTGACCGACTGATCCTAAGCTCATCTATTCACTTCTATATTATAGTCTAAAAAAACATAACTTGCTAAATTTAAACTGTAGATTTAAATAAAAAAACTTTAAACTTTATATTAATCGAATTTCATATCATAATTTTATATTACATATTTAAACGGATTCTAAAATGTCATAAATTATTATAAGGATAAAGTTATGTTGACAAGATTTGTGAAATGACAATTCCCTATATCGACCAAATTTTACACAATCCATAATCATTATTTGCCCTTGGAATACGTCTTACATAAAATTATTACAATTCTAAGTTGTTGAAAATATTGCCTCTTGCTTTCTTGTGCATATATGTGAATGTTCACCAAACTCTTGTCTTTTTTAGACAAGTTATAACTTCACAATATGTTTGCCACAACATTAAAAAAAAATAACAATTATGTCTGGTGATATATATATAATTGGTTCGCTCGATTAAGTAAGGCATCAGATGGCGGATCACGCTCCTCAAATTGAGGCGTGAACCTTTATTACTCATAAATACTAATTTTAACATGTTTTTAAGAATAGTTCAGACAGCAATATGGTATGCAATATATTGATATTTTTATAATGTAAACTTTTTTTATTTTCGAATTTGAAACCTGCAACACTTTAACGTCTCTGGGTCC